CTATATATCAAGCAAATAAAATGCACACACATCGCTTGGGTCATGATTCACATGATCCAGTATCATAAGACTATTTTGAGATGATGAGAAAAAACTGAATATGGACTAGTTATTCAATGAAGTAAAGGAATTATTATTAATATTAACTTGGATACATCTGAAAATTGTCCAGTGGTTATAAGTTTTTTAAATGATCTTACCAGTTAGGGATTCATATTGAAAGATTTACAAGTTTAAAGATATGATGCCTTGGATTTGCTATGAAATTCTCCAGAGAAAAATATAAGTGAAGGAGGCACAGATGAATATGACTGGCCGTGAGTTGGTAACTGTTGATGCTGGGTGATGGGCACATAGTATACTATTCTCTCTACTCTCCACTTCCATGAAAAAGAGTTAAAAAGATTAGTCTTCAGGACTTGATTTCTTTACAGTATGGTGATTCAAATATTATATAAACACTCACAGGTTATAGAAAAAGAGGAAAAGTTTCTCTACCAATTATATAAAGCCAGCATTTCCAAACTAATCAATAGAATAGAAAAAAAGAAAATTAAGAGAGAGACATTTATTCATTGATTCTCATCCTTCCTTCTTTTCTAATACATACATTTAAGGCTATAAATTCCCTCCACTGATTGCTTAGGCTGATTTCAACAAAGGTTTAATAGGTAGGATTATTATTAAAATGCAATTCAAAATATTTCCTCTGTGATTTTTTTTTTTTGGACTCATAGATTATTCAGAAGTGCATGACATAATTGTGAATCATTTGGTATTGATTTATTGGTTAATTCCCACTGTAGTTAAAGAAAATATTCTGTATAATTTAAACCTTTGAAATTTATTTAGACATGACTAAGTAGTAGGTATGATAGATAGATAGATAAATATTTATTTAGACTTGTTTTTTAGACCACCGTACAGTGACTTTTTATAAATATCCTTCATGTCTTTGAGGAAAATTATTGGCTGGAGTGTTTTTACATTGGTCAAGTTAATGATGTCATTCTAAACTTTCAGGATTTGCCACTATGGTAGGCTGGCAACCTGTTTTTGTAAATAATGTTTTATCAAAACACAGTCACACCCATTTGTTTATGTATTCTCTGTATCTACTATCGCTCTACAACAGCAAAACTTAGCAGCTGCAGACAGAGACTATTCCACTTTCAGAAATCAAAATATCTATTACCTATCTGCTCCTTTACAGAAAGTTTGCTGACATCTGTCAATCTATAGCCTTTTAGCTTTTTTTGCCTGCCTGTCCTCTCAGTGACTAAGAGAAAGGTAAGTTAAGCATCTCCCATTATGACTCGGCATTTGTTGTTTCTCCTTGTTGCTATACCTCAGGAATTCTACTAAGTATATACCCAATGGAACTCTTTAGGCACCAAAAAGGCATGTACAAAAATGTTCACATCAGCAGTTCTCAAAATAGTCCCAAGCCAGTAACAACTGAAATGTCTATTGATAGTGGAATGGATAAATAAATTGGGGTATAATCATCAATGGAATACTACGTAGCAATGAAAAGAAAGGAAGACTCCTACATGCAACAACTTAGGTAAATTACACAATGAAATACTGAGCAAAAGACAGCCACAAAAGAACATGTACCTTATGATTTCACTTATATAAAGTATACAACCAGACAAATCTAGTATGATGTTTTTAGGATAATTACCTCTGGAGAAGAGGGAAGGGATGAGGACTTCTGAGATGCTGGAATATTCTATTTTTTTAACCTTGTGTTATACTTAAAAAAAAAAAAACTTTTTAAGAAAACAACAGACCAATTTCATTTATAAATGTAGGAGCAAAAAAAAAAATTTCATTATGTAGTATTAAAAATTTCAAGCAAAAGAAAAAAAGCCAGTAAACTCAAATTCCACATAGCCATCATATATAACCTCAGCAATTACCAATTCACACCTAATTTTGTTTTATCTACATCACTATTCACTCGCTCTCCACCAATGGATTATTTTAAAGCACATCCAAGACATCTTTTCATTTCTAGATGCAAAAATATTAAATAAAATATTAGCAAATAAAATCCAGTCCCAAATTAAAAGAACAAATCATTATGGAAAGGTATGTTTTTTTTCCAGGAATATTAGATATTAAGAAACCTAGAAAAAATAAATCAAAGAAAATTTTAAAGAGAGAAAAATTATAAATTAAAATAATTTTAAAGTTAAAAAGCCCTTGAGAAAGAGAAATAAAAACTTGATAAATCAGTGACCATTTATTGAGACCGTATTATGTATCAGGTACTATACTTTGTATGTACTTAAAGAACATTTGCTCACTTAATCTTAACAACTCCATAAAGTATGAATTATGACAGCTTTTTTTCACAAATGAGAAAACTGACTCAGAGATTAACCTACCCAAGTCAGAGGCAGAAGCGGGCTCTTCTTACTCCACAGTCCATACACTTGCCACCAGGCTAAAATTATTTGCAGTTGACAAAAATGCTCAACTAGAAAACAGAAAGGAGTCAATTCCTAAGCTGTATGTAATAGCATAAGTAGATGAAGTGACTGAATATACATTTTCAAACTCTTGCTCTTGTCCATTACATAAAATTAGAAGACATAAAAAAAGAGGAAGTGAGGGGTCTTATGCAAAAAGACACCATTTACAATTACAACAAAAGTATAAACTATGTAGAAATAAGAACAACCAGAAATGTCCAAGATACATAAGGAAAAACACTAAAGCTAGTTGAAAAAAAAAAATTGGTTTAATGGAAATCTATCACATGTTCCTGAAAGTGCTGTACCTAGATCTACATCACTTCTACCCAAATTAAAGCACCCACTCGATGGAACATTACTGAAGTAATTTTTAAAGGAGAAGAAAAAAAAAAAATGCTGGGTGCGGTGGCTCACACCGGTAATCCTGGCACTCTAGGAGGACAAGGTGGGAGGGCTGCTTGAGGTCAGGAGTTCGAGACCAGCCGGAGCAAGAGCCAGACACACACCCTCAGCCCCATCTCTACGAAAAACAGAAAAAAATTAGCCAGGCGTGGTGGCCAGGGGCCTGTAGCCAGTCGGGAGGCTGAGGCAGGAGGATCACTTGAGCCCAGGAGTTTGAGGTTTCAGTGAGCGATGATGCCACTGCATCCTACCCCAGGCGACAGAGCAAGACCCTGTCTCAAAAAAAAAAAAAAACTTTCAAAGCGTTTGTAATATGGAAATACGAGCACGTAGTTAGTTGATAGGATGTGAGGCTAAATATGTATAAAACTGTAAGTCAGATGTTGAAAACGGGCAATAAACAAATATGTATAAATTTATACCAATACCTATACACCTGATCCCAACACTAAACATGGAATATACTAACTTTTAACAAAAGTTATCTTCTGTAAGAGTATTTAGGATGATGGGATGTCATTACTTGGGTCGGAATAAACCTGAAAGCACATTTTTACTAGAACATACAGGAAACATGGAAGCAAGAGGACCAGAAACCCCGTTTTTAAAAGTACACAAGTGACCAACAATGAACACGGAACTGTCCGGAGCTGCCCTCAACACCGGCACGACTCGCTCCCCGCGACGCCACTCTGCGACAAAGCCCTCCCAGGTGCTCGTCCCGACGCGGAGCCCACGGACCGGAGCTCCCGGTCCACGGGGAACCCCCAACACGAATCTGCAAAACGAACCCCCCCGGCGAGGACCCCCACTCGCTTCCCGCAACGCAGACCCTACGCGCTGGCGAGCAACGCGCTCTCCCCGGCCCGGAAATACTCCCCAAACCCAGCACAGACCTGACATGACTTCGGTGAAGACGAGTCGCTGAACCCTCGTTTCTTAACACTTGCTTCTGTGCCCGCCGCTCCGCGACCCCCTCACGCCGCAGACAGGACTCGCGGAAGCTCCGGGGACGGCGGCCGGCGAGGGCCAGAAAACTTCTTTCCGGCGACCCGGAATCCGGCGTTCCCGGGTCCCTTTATGACGCAATAGGTCTGCGCCCGGGCAACGGTGTTTGCTGGGAGCAGCCATTTCCCAACTTTACGCCGTACGGCAGGCGAAGTCCCCTTTTCCCCCCTGACCTGGGAAGGCTGTGACCAGGAGGAGCAACTGAAAACGACCCACTTCACCCTATTCCAGGCCAGCTGAACCACTGGACCTCGACTTTGCGACAGTCGCCGAGGACGCTACACAAACTGCTTGGCTTCTCAGAGACTCAAGCGTGCCCTGATCTCTCTGCCTGCTGGAGAGAGATGGTGGCGGACTTGTAGGTGATTTGATTGTAAGAAGTGATAGAGAGAAGCCAAGTGGGCGCCCCAGTCTTTGAGGAATTTCAAGGGGGAGGGACCTCGAGCAACAGTTGGAGGGGCTGTTATCCTGAGAACGCTTCTGGCTGGAGAGGGCGTTTATGGAGAAAGCTGCATTTGAGGACTGCCTAAGATTTAGAGACGCCTCCAAGGAAGGAGTCAGTCCCAGAGTGGGTGAAACGATGGCGTGTTAAAGCTTTTGTTAGAGTTAGTGTGGAGGAGAATGGCGAACACTGTTCATCAGGAGTGGACGGGGCAGGGCGAACGGAAAAGCGTGGCTCTCCCTTCCGCCCTGGAGAAGCCAAAGGCAGAACAAGCCTTTACATCCACGAAGGTGGGAAATACCTGAAATCCAAAGCTCTGAGAAGGGAATGTGATTCTATTCAGTATCGAGGCCTAACTGATTAAATAAACCGATGAATTCTAGCACCAAACCTGCTCCCTGTAATTATACAACCAGATTCAGAGAGCCTTTAAAGGAATTGATCATTCCTTCACTCATTCATCCAACGAATGCCTGCTATGTGTCAAACACTGTTCTGCATGCTGGGGATACAAAAGCTAGAAATACTAAGAGAGCCTTCTTCATGGAGATTTATATTCTTCTGGAGATTTCACATGAAGTTACTGATTTGATTTCCTCTTTACAGCAAGTGTATTGTGATTCCCACTAACAATGTGACAACAAAGGTCAAAAAGGGTAAGTCACTTTGACATCCTTCATGTATTAACTCCTACACTTGCCTCAAAACCAACTCACAATCAGCCATCAGTAACAGGTCCAACTTAGGAGAAATCAAAGAAATGCAAAATATTAACCTAATAAAATGCCATGTTGGCCAATACTGTCAATCACCCCAGGGTTGCCACAATTGTAAGGAAATGTTCATTTTTGCATACTTCTGGTGGAAGTATAAACCATTGTTTTAAAACGTACCCAGGATTTGTTTTAATGAGATATGGTAAGACATACAAACACAGAAAAGTCTGTCATTAAGAAGTTCGTGTTCATAGATCCCTAGAAACAAGAGGCAGGGCAGGCCATGCAGGGTGGCCATGCGAGGAAGCATCACGAGGTTGGTCATGAAGCAGACGGAGCGAGAGGAAAGCGTGGGCAAGGGCCTTTATGTGGTATCCATGGGAAGGAATGGGTGAAGCAGGGCAAGCAGGCCTAGAGTTGGCTAGTTTGGATGATTTCAGTGGGCTCTGGGGTGTACAGGCTACCCCAGTTGGCTGATACCTGGCCCTGGGTTGATTAGTGCAGGTGGATAGTAGGTAACCCCAAGTGTGAGAGCTAGATATATGTTTGTGGTGAGCTCTGGATGGGTTGGTTTGCATATGAAAGGTTTGTTCATAGTGGTTTGCCCTCTCTAGGAATTAGCTGGCCCTAAGGGAGGCTGTTTAGGGTCAGCAAGGCAGCAAATGTCAGTTTCAGAATAAAAAGACATCATTTTGATTAATGGTGATACATTCTGTCTAGAAGAAAATGTGTTGAAATGTAATACGAGAAAACACTAACTCAGAAATTTCATTATAAGTGATGTATCTTCAAGAAATAAGTAGACGAGCGTGCAAAGATAAGTAAATGAAGGCAGCCCCAATGTCCAAAAATAAGGGTACAAATGTAAACCCCACTATTAGTACATTCAATCTTTTATCTAGCTTTTCAAATAAGTATAATAACTGTGTATGCAGTTATAATAATATCGTTTACTCAACCTAGCATCTATGTCAGCTTTAGGTCTGTTTTGATTGATAACTTTTCCTCCTAATGTGTCTCACTTTCCTACTTTTATGCATGCCTGGTAATTTTTAGTTGGATGCTGGACTTTGTCAACTTACCTTGTGTGTAGGAGGCAGTTGGATATGTTTGCATTTCTATATTCTTGAGGCTTATTCTGGAATACATCTACATTACTTGGAAATAGTTTGATCCTTTTGGATTTTGCTTTTAATCTTTGTTAAAACCAGATTACTTATTGAGTAAGATTCAATCAATTTAACAGTATGTACTTGCCTACTTTATGCCAGGCAAGTTTCTAGACTTCTAGTATACAAGTATGAGCAAGACAGACAAGTTTCTTACCCTCCTGAAGGCTAAAGTCTAACTTTTGCAGTCAATAGCTCATACTGAAGATCTTAATCTCAGGAGCTTAAATTTAGCAATTTGAAGTTATAATCATTAGCTTTGTATTGAAAGTGATACTCATAGTAATGTTTATTCATTCCCAAGATCTTTATGTATTCCATATCAGTATCTTTAAGAAAACAGTTGAGATGTTCATTCCAAGTGTTTCTCATGGTTTTTGCATGGTGCACTGATTTTTTAAAAATCACCCTATATAATCACCCTGATTACAATTCCATGTAAACTTCAACCTACTGATAGGCCTAAGTTATTTGACCTCAGATCCCAGCTTTCCAGCATTAGACTTGATGTGAGCCGTAGGCTAGCATCAGTTTTGTGCCAGCGCCTACTGACATTAGCCCTGACCACAGTTCAATAGTTACACCTATCAGCCTACTCTGAAAATATTTTTTCAGATTGGACAAAGGCCTGTAGCTCTCTAGTTTACGACTAGATTCAGGTCTTCCAGAACCCCTTTGCCTACTCCTGATTCTATTCAATCTCTTCAGTAGTCTGTGGAGTATGAGCTACCAGGATAAGGTTGATTCTCCTTGGAAGATCTCTTTTCATATGGTGCCAGGCTGTGTAAGACTCCCTCAGAGTATATCCGGTAAGGGGAGGAAATGCCAGGAAGAATGTTGGGGTTGTTCTATCAATGAAGCAAAGGGTAGACTTAGGCAGGGAACTACCTCCATGGGGAAGAGTGCAGCTGGTTAGTTATCTAGGAGTTTAGAATTTCATATTCTCAGGGTTCTGGGAATAATCTAAATGACCAGGGAATAGGGGAGTTAGTAATAGGCAAGTGGAGTCTGTGAAGTAGGGTCATTGTGCACTGGTTACCAACTTGTCCGAGTCTAGTGAGACAGATATCCACGTGCATGTTATATGAAGCTGGCTTATTATAGGTAGGCAGCAAGGGACGACAAAGCCTAGCATTCATTGCAGTGCAGTCCCCCAAGGCTCAGGAAAGCTGCTCAGTGCAGATGGATTCTTATCTTCATGAGTTCCACTTGCACTGCAGCTGAGGGACCCCAGAAAGCGGCCCAACTTGGGTTTTATACCCAAGGGCCAGTTGAAATGGTAGACATCCTGTTTCTAGGTGGGTACTGGAACAGAGCCAGGACTATTCTGTCCAGCTCCTCCCTCTCTTACAATGTGGCAGTCCTATCACATTCTACAGTCATTCTTGAGAACTAAGAGCAAGAAAGAAGGGAGAACTGGGTTGACCCAAAGCTGCCCAGAGAACTATCTACCACCTGACCCAGACACCCCTTAACAAAGCTAGTCCATTTATGTGCCCACTGATCCCCCTGATCTGGAGGCAGAGGTTTGTCTCATGAGATTGCTGTAACACCTTGACTGACACAATCTCAGTGCAACATTGTTGAGCCTTAGGCAGGTTCCGTGTCACTAGGCCCAGGGCTACCACCTCAAGCTGGGTGATCAAGCCTGCCTGGAGTAGTGACCTCGCCCAGGATCCCAGTGACCTAGGTAAGAAGTTGGTAATGAGGTCAAAGAAGGGTCCCTCGGGTGACCCCACTGTCTGCAGCCAGGTTGCCTGCTTTTGAATCTCCTCTCCTTATGTTTCAATAATAGCCAAGGTATTTATCCATGTACAGCAAGAGGTGTTGACAGTTGTTCATACTCCTTCCAGTTGGGCTAAAAGAAGGTCTAGAGCCATTCTGTTGTCTAAAACAACCTTCCTGGGGGAGTTGAGGGATGCCTGCTGAGCTGCCAAGGCAATGGCCGTGGAGGAGGCAGTATCTGCCACGGCCAGGGACAGGCTTCTCATTTTTCATGAGCACTGATTCCTATGTGTGGTATCAAAGATCTTATAAAGGACATAAAGCCAGAGTTGGTCACATCTCCTGGCAGGTCCCTAGTAAGCCTGGTGTATGTACAGCTTTAGGCTGCTGTGCCTCTCCCGGGGGCAATATTCAGGGACAACCCTAACACACCCAATGTGCAGGATTCCATCATCCACCAGCTGTCCAGGTATGACACTGATCATCCCATATTTGGGTCACCACAGATCAGTCCTCAGGTGTACACAGCACCCCTTCTCTGTTTTGTTGTTCAGTGACCCATTCACGGGTATAGAGGCATTGGCGTTCACCAGCCCAGTCTCAGGCCTGTTATGTGAACTCAGTTTCTCCCATACGGTATCATTCGTGAAGCCCCTACACAAATGGCTAGCAACAGTCCAGTTCTTGTTTTCATCATTGCCACTGGGACACTCCCCATGTAATCAAGAGTGTAGTACACCAAAGTGCCAGCCCCGCAAAGTGTGTTAGCGGTGCTCATGATGATTTGCCAGTCAGTTAAGTTAAAACAGGGCAGCTCCGGCTCCTTCCCATGTGGCAGATGCCAAATCCTCAGTCCGTAAGCCAGGGCTCAGGTTCTGTTGGTGTGCACTGTTGTGTTAGGTGTGCTGGTATAGTTTACCACTGGCAAGACAAGGGGGTCACTCTAGTTGGTGACAGAACAAGGGCCGGGATGGCAGATCTAGCACTTCCTCAGGTTAACGCAATGGCCACAGCTTGGCAGAGCCTAAGGAAGATGTTATGCTTCCAGGCTCTGCTGCCACAGCCTTGTGCAAAAGCAGATTGACAGGTCAGTGCCCCTCCCCCAGCCCTCCTGGAGTCTCAGATGTCCCCTACCTGCTGAGTTTGTGTAGTGACCCAGTCTGCCTGTGCCAGTTCCCATTCCGTGATGCAAGCCTTTTAGCTTCAGTTGTCCAGTCCAGGAAGGGAAGTCATGTCCTGTACAAACTGAACATGTCTGATAACATTGTACACCTGACTGAAGGGATCAGATGTCCCCAGCACTACTAGAGGGAACCTGGCACCATGGTAGTCCCTGATTCTGTCCCCCACCCCTTCTTTTTCAAGGACTTTTGTAGGGGCTGGGCCTAGAAGGATGGATGGATGGATGGAAAGAACGTGAGCAAGGTGAATGAAGGGTCAGGCGAAAACACCTGCCCTAAGCCGCTTATTTGCTGAGTGCAAAGGTCAGCTGAAAACAGCTGACCTGTATTAAAGTTGTTAAAAAAAAAAAAATTAACAAACAGCCCTGACCCTTTGCACGTGTCCTTGGAAATAAATATGGGAAGGAACTTAGCTGAGGAGGCCATTTTCTCTTTTAGATTTTGGCCTCTCCCCTTCTCTTGAAACATCGTGTGTTTCGAGTAATCATTCATTCCTTTGCTCCTGAGCTCAGGAGCGAAAAATAGCCAAAACAGACTTTAGTTTTCCAAAATAATATTTAACTAAATTTAGAGTCAAAGAACTGTAACAGCTAATCATATGATTTGGGTGGGCACTGAAGATAATTTGGGCCGGGGGGAAGCAAAAGAACCACAAAGGAGAAATATGATAACTGAACCAATGATATGGGGCACGGACTATCTCCTTTAAATTATGGAATCATTAACACAGTACACAGTAATATAGTTCAAGGTATCCTGTCCAAAAATATACATCAGGTATATTATCTGATGTATGCTGAGGTTAGAAATGAACAGAAAGCTCTCAAATATTCCTCATTTCCACAGGGCTTCTTTGCTTCAAGGGTACTTTGATATTTTGCTACAGGCATTTCACAGTGTGTTCAGTGTTTTATTTCTATACAATTTCACCTGCTAATGAATGAGGCAGCATATGCCACTGAAAACCCTGCCACATTCACTGCCTTCCAGAAGTTTCTCTCTACTAGGTACTGATGCCTCTTAAGGGCAAGGGCTTTCTGATGATCATTCTATTTCTACCCACTATGAGCTATTAGCCCATGGTGCCCACCGGTGACAGTGTCCCTCTTCCATAAAAAGGCTTTTCTAGTTTCTGCATTCATAGGATTTCAAAGTTTTACACTTAACCAAATAATCAGCTGTCGCTCCATGAATTAGTATTAAACGTGTTTTGGGACAGGATTTGTCTTAAGAGTTTTACAGAGCTTTGCCCTGAAAAAATATGTGAACGTGTTGGTTTGCATTTTAAATGCTGTTACCCTCGGAAGGGCATCTCTGAAAGGCAGTAGCGGCTGTATCCCACGAAGTGCCGCGTTTGTCAGACCTAAAGAATTGGATTTGCTTTGTAAAGCACAAGCGAATCTGTTAAAAACTATAGGCTGAGAGCTGACAATGGAGTGCCCTCCGGAACAAACAACTTCCCGGAAACGACAGCTTCCTGAATGGCTAAAAGCAAAGCGTTTGTTTAAACCACTCTAGACTACCTGTCTCCATTCACAATAACCTAATAAACATGGAGCTTACATATCTCTGTTTAACCCCTCTGTTTAAATGATAAACTTACCTTAGAATTTAGAAATTAACCTTTGAAAGATTTTGTAGTCGTTTGCTCACGTAAATAGAATTAGTTAAAGAATCTGTAGAACCCTTCCATAAAAGCCTTTTGAAAATCTGTTAACTTGAGAGGTACTACTTGTTGTTATGAAAATCTGTTACTCCTGACAATTGTTCACTATTTTCTATAAGTTACCATGTAAGACCTCATCCGGGGCTTTTTGAGACCAACGGAGAGGTCTGAGCCCCCTGAGCTCCCGCTTTGCCTATAATCTTTATAAACTTATAAAACTATATCTTTGTCTCAGTGTATTCTTTTATTTCTTCCATTTTCCATTTCTCTCTATTATTTTCTTATCCCTTGCAACTCTACCAAAGGGACCCAGTTCTTTGCAGGGAACACTGGTCACGTTCCCCGCAATCAGCTAGACATTTTTGCTAATGTCTTTTCCACCTTGAATGTACAGTTTTTTCCTATGTGTTTGTGACATAAAAGAATTGACTACTGGCAGCATGACCGTATTCACTGCATTTGTAAGGTTTCTCTCCTGTGCAAATCCTTGATTATCTCCTGAGAGTGCACATCTGGCAACTGGCTGTCCCATGAGGAGTATGTTCCTGTTTTCTACGAGCCCACTGGTGTTCAGTGAGGTCTGAGGGGCCATAGAAGGTATCTGCACAGCCACCACATTAGCAGGGCTTTCCCCCTGCCTGAGTTCACTCGTACCTAACAAGCTACGACTCACTGTGGAAGGACTGTCTACTTTCACTGAATCTCCACGTTTCTCCCTTGTGTGTATTCTTTTATGTTTAACAGGGCAGGACACATAGGCATAAGCTTTCTCACACTCATCACATCCATAGGGCCTCTCCTGTATGAGTTCCGTAATGTACAGTGAGCATTGTCTTTGTAAAGAAAGCTTTCCCACAGTCACTGCATTTATAGGGTTTCTCTCCTGAGTGAATTCTTTGATGCCTAATGAGTCCCGACTTCTGTGAACAGGGTTGTCCACATTCAGTATGTACAAAGGGAGTCTTTCCTGTATGGTATCTCTGATGTGCTACGAGGCAGGCCTTCTGGCTGAAGGCCTTACCACATTCAGTGCATCCATAGGGTTTCTCTCCAGTGTGAGTTTGTTGGTGTATGATAAGATTGCCCTTCTGAATGAAGCCTTTCCCACATTCACTGCATATATAGGGTTTCTCTCCTGTATGAGTCTGCTGATGTACGATAAGCTGTGATTTTCTGGAGAAACCTTTCCCACATTCACTGTGTAGGGACCGTCCCTGGAAAAAAATTGGCTTAAGCCCAGAGTCAGCGAAACTGGGTGTGCTCTCCTTGGGGCCAGAGGACAATAGGTCCAGACACGGCCTGTTGGACAAACAGAACTATTCCTCATGACGGACAGCTTTATGACAGATAACCAAGCGCCTGGGGGTCTTGCAAACAAGCCAAGGCGACTCATTGTCCTGCATACGGTAATGAGATAAAGAAGTTAAGATGCAAACATCTGCTTCCCTTGAGCAATCGTCTGGAAGAAATGACAATGTGTTTTCCTCAAGGCACCCAAGGTAGTCATGTACCAGAAGTAGCTGCCGGACATAGAAAAAGTATATAAATAAAACAACTGGTGGAATCGAGCACTGCAGTCTTGTACGTCTTGTGTGTGTCTGTGTGTTTCTTTCTGTGTCCATCCCCTGTTCTGCAAACGGGCCACAACACACTGCATTGATGGGACTTATTTCCTGTGTGAGTCATCTTATGTTCAGTAAGCTGAGATTTCCTAGGGAAGGCTTTCCCACATTCACTGCACTGATGGGCTTTCTCCCCTTTGTGAGTTCTCTGATGTTCAGTGAGCCTGAACTTCTTGTAGAAGGTTTTCCCACAGACACCACATCCATGGGGTTTCTTTCCTGTATGAATTCTCTTACGTCCAGTGAGCTGAGACTTCTTGAGAAAAGCTTTCCCACATTCAGTACATTCATGGGCTTTCTCTACATTGTGTGTTTGCTGATGTTTAAGGAATCGTGACTTAGTGCTGATGGGTTTTCTACTTTCACGGAATTCAGTTTTAGTACGACTGTGTTCATGATTGTCATGGAAAAAGGCTCTCCGGTCTCCATTAAACTCAGCAGGCTCTTTCATGTTGCATCTTCTGCTCTGGTTGCTTAAACCTAAGTAAGACTTTAAAGTGCTTCTATGTTCATAGCATTGTTCCATCCTCTTCAGCATTTTTGGTTTTCCAAGTGCTGCTGCAGATGATCATCAGCTTTCTTGATTTCTAGGAAAGAAAGAACAATGAATCCTTCTATGAACATCATATGGAATGAAATTGCTTCAAAAATACGTTGGTGTTTGCTAGCTCCTTAGTGGAAACTCTGTAATATCTACATGAAAGAAATTCCAAATATACATGTTCCCTAGCTCTTTTTCGTTAACTTTTTAAAAACTTTTTTTATTGCAATTAAATATACAAAGGACAAAATCTGCCATTTAAGCATTTCTAAATGTACAGATAGGTGGCATGAAGTACATTCACAGAGTTGTGCAACTATTACCACTATCTCCAGAACGGTTTCCCCTTCCCCAAATGAAAAACTCTGTACACACTGAACACTAACTCCTTATCTCTTAGACATAGCTAAAAACACAGTAATATAAAAAAACCAACATACCAAAAAGTAACAGCTATCAGTGTAAAACAGGATTAGATAATTCACAAGGAATAAATATAGCTTTGGCTGCTTTCTAAATAGGACCTTGGAAACAGGAAAATACAAGGCAGTCCCTATTAGCACTGGACCACAGAGGTAGAATGGACACATTTTCATTATTCGTTCAACACATCCTTATGAAATGGCTACCACTCATACCAGGCATAGTGCTGGTGTTGGGAAAACACAAAAATATTCTTTATTTTCAGTGAAGTCATAGTTTTGGTGGAAAAAAGGAAACAAAATAAGCAAGAAAAGGAATAAACTAGGCAGTTAAAATGTGACAGTGGTTTCAGGAAGCAAAGGAAATGATGAGAAGTGGATGAAATCAGGATTTATATGGAAAGAAAGATAACACGATTCACTAACGGGTGTGAGGTGGGGAGAGGTAACAAAAGAGGGAATCAAAGGGTGCTCCTACATATTTTACTTGAGTCCTGGACAGGTGGACAGTGTCTTTTAACAAGATAAGAAGTATTACACTAAAGTTCAGAATGTGAGGGAAATCAAATGTGCATTTTGAAGCATATTAACTTTGAGATAATTGTTAAATATCCAAGTACAGATAAGGAAAACCCAGTCAGATATATAAAACGAGAAAGGTTTTCACTAGATACAGCAATGTGGAAATCATCAATTTGTAAATATTTAAGGTCGGAGTATTGGAGATCACATTCAGAGAATGTGAAGACTGAAAGAAGATGAAAGCACAAGACCAAAGCTTTAGTCTTTCCAACATAAAGAGCTTTGGGATTCACAGAGCCCACTGAGGAGACCCAAACACTAACAATCCTGAGTAGAGAAACGGCAGACACAGGCATTAGAATAAATATCCCAAAGAGGCAGATCAGAATGTTGGAAGCACAGCTTCTGACTTCAGGGTAACTCTGTTAGCCTCCTGGGTGCTCATCCTGTTGCTATAATAGGCCCTTCTTCCTTCTGTAGACAATCACCAAACTAACTTTCCTAAAGTACCAATCTCACACTTCCAAGAAAACTGCATTCAAAACCCTAACCTTGTATCTATCTGACTATGATACCATGAACAAAAATAAAATCCTAAGCCCCCTGATGACTGAACACACCCGCTTTTGGTCAAGGGGACCTCAGAGAAACCCTAAAACTGAGTTCCCAGCTATGACGGGGCTGGAGGTTGGACACGCATCATTATACACCCTCCCTACTAACAGCCATCAGGATTTTTTCCTAAGGGCTAAACAGAAACCAATCTCAGGATCCGGATCAGCATTCCTTCCTGATAAAGACCACCAACCATGAAGTGGGTTTAACCAGTCTATGGAGCGTGCACAGAAAGGGTTTTCATGTCCTTGTTTCACCTTTTTGAGGGCAGCCATTTCTGAACATGGACTCCAAAAAAGGGCAGAAAGCCCAATCACACAGGCGCATGTTTCTCTTTTCATAAATATTCATAAAACATCCCATAGCTTGTTAAATATGTATATTTGGCCATCCCACTCAGTGTAAACTCCTGTTCCCATTGTCCCTGCCTCGAAGCACTTGTTTCTGGCTTGTGGCTGGGGGATAGGCTTTCCAGGCTGTTGGAGTGGCCACCCACAGGCTGCAACCCTTTATGAGAAATACAGCTCTCTTTTCCAAATTATGAACCTCCTTATTTCTTTGGTTAACAACACATTCTCATATGTTCCAATAGAAAGAGGGACCCGACAATACCTATGGTCTTTCACAACATGCTAGTGGAACACACAGTCCTCTCCACGCAGATCTACTGCTGCACCAAATATGGGAACTGTCACCTTCTACATCATGCCATACTTGCACAGATGTCATATTGGAATTTTTTTCCATGTCGTTGTGCCTGACGTACTAATCCCTCGCCTTGCCATTAGCAGCATCTTCTTCCTGAACTCTACATTTATGTCTCTATTGGCATCAGTGACCACCTTCCAAAGACCACCAAAGACCAAAGACCACCTTCCTCCTTCAGAATCAAGACTTGTGGCATCTTTACCTTTAGTTTCTCTTAGAGTGTCTGGCTATACCTTACTATTGATACAATGCTACCACCAAGTGAAAAGTAAGCTCTATCTAGAGGGAGAAAAATACAAGACCTGGTCGGGTACAGTGGCTCACACCTGTAATCCCAGTACTTTAGGAGACTGTGGTGGGAGTATTGCTTGAGGCCAGGAGTTCCAGACCAGCATGGGCAACATAGCAAGACCCCATCTTGACAAAAAATAAAAGCCAGGTGTGGTGGCACATGCCTGTAGTCCCAGCTACTTGGGAGGCTGAGGCAGGAGGATTGGTTAAGCCCGGGAGTTCAAGGCTGCAGTGAGCTATGATTGTGCCACTGCACTCCAGCCTAGGTGACAGAGCAGGACTCTGTCTCAAAAAAAAAAAAAAAAAAAAGAAAAGAAAAAGAATACAAAACCTAACCTCCATCTCCCTGTATTACTAACACATAAAATTCACAGCAGGAGGCAGGACACTAACAGCTTACTTTACCATGATGCATTCCCTTTATCTAAGTTTCCACTTTGCCATTTCCCAGCAAATATCTTCTAACATTGTTGCAAATATATTCTTCCAGTCTGCAGCTTATGTTTCCACTTTGTTTTTGTTGTCTATGATACAGAATTATCTAATATAGCTGAAATTTAACAATATTTCCCATTATAGTTTGTGCTGAGCCTTTTTAAAGAAGTCCTTCTCCATATGATGATCATAAAGACATTTTCTTGTACTTACTTCTAAAACTTTTGGAGTTTTGCTGTTCACATTCAGCATTCTGGGGGTTAGCAAGCTGCAGCTCACGGGCGAAATCCAGCCCAAAGCTTGCTTTGGCTTTGCCCTTAAGCTAAGACTAATTTTCATATTTTTAAAGAGTTAATTAAATAGAATATACAATAGAGATTGTATGTAACCAGCAAAACCAAAATACTTACTATCTGGCCTTGCACCGAAAAAGTCTGTTGACCTTTAGAGTCACACGCAAAGCACTGATTTGTGCAGAGTATGAATTGAGCATCGAATTTTGCTTTGTTCCATAGGATAATTAATTATATTAGCACCTTTTTCAAAAAAATAACTGTGGGCCGGGCACGGTGGCTCAGGCCTGTAATCCTAACACTCTGGGAGGCAGAGGCAGGAGGATCGCTTGAGCTCAGGAGTTTGAGACCAGCCTGAGCAAGAGCAAGACCCCATCTCTACTATAAATAGAAAGAAATTAGCCAAACAACTAAAAATAGAAAACATTAGCCAGGCGTGGTGGTACGTGCCTCTAGTCCCAGCCACCCAGGAGGCTGAGGCAGGAGGATCGCTTGAGCCCAGGAGTTTGAGGTTGCTGTGAGCTAGGCTGACGCCATGGCACTCTAGCCCAGGCGACAGAGTGAGACTCTATCCCAAAATAAATAAATAAATAAATAAATAAAAATGAAAAAAAATAAAAAAATAACTGTGTAATGAATTTGGCTGGTCCTTGTCCTAGGTTCTTAAAAAATAACCTCAAAATCCTTGGAATTTCCTGGGTGTTAAGAGTGTCTTTGTTACTCATGCAGGGCCCTCAAACCACACCTGATAGATTCTGCTAAGGAGATGACTCAGGATGGGAGCCGGCCATGCTAGAAAGACCAACCATGTCATTGGAGAGTTGGGGCTTTGAGCCATGTGATATGTCTGAACTCTAGGGAGTGGAAGGGACATTGAGTTCAACCCAATCAATTGTGCCTCTTTAATAAAACCCCAATAAAAACTCTGGACAGGAAGGTCAGGTGTATTTCCCTGGTTGACAACACTCTTCCAAGTATTGTCATTCCTCAAGGCTGGGAAGGTAACACAGCCCCGAGGATGACAGAAGCTTCATGTTTAAAACATTCCCACACTTCTCCCTATCTGCCTCTTCTTTGGCCTGGTTCAAATTTGTATGCTATTTCAAAAATAAAACTGTAATCATAAGTATAATGCTTTCAGCGACTTCTGAGTCATTCTCACCTGAGGAAGTAATCTATTGAACCTGGGGGCTGTTGTGAGAACCCCCAAATTTCAAGACAGCTGGTCAGAAGTGAGCGTGGCCCTGGAGACCTCTGAATTTGCAGCTGGTGACTGAATTGAGGACCTGTATACTTAAGTTTGGCTAGCTCCATGTAATAACCCTTTTCTGCACTGACTCGTAATGCCATTTCAGTTATATATCCAATTTCTGTATATATCAATCATTTTCTGAGATCTCTGTTAAAATTTGGGATAGGTATCTATCCCTGTACCAACACTATGCTATATTACTATAGATTTGTAGCAAATCTTGTTATCAAGTAGAGCAAAATCCTTGTCATATTTGTTAGAATTGTTTAAAATATTCTTGCCTGTTTGTCTACTATGAGAATTTTAGGATTGGCTTTCTAGGATTATAGAAAGCCCCATAGAGATGTTTTTTGGTTATACAGCAATAGAAAACTAATACAAGGTCCTTGGCATGCCATACTAAAGAGATTGAACCTTTTTTTTAAAGGCCACAGAGAGTTGCAAAATAATTTAAGAGATTTCTAGATTGAATAAGTATTTGTGTATGTTACATTATGCTATGTCATAAAAAGACCCCCCCCCAAAATATCTATGGCTTAAAACAACAAAGGTTTTCTTCTCACTCATATTACAAGTGCATGTGTGTTGTCTGAGAATTCTGTTCTACGTCACCATTGTCCTCACTCGGAATCCCGACAGCAGGAGTAACCCCTACTTGGAATACTATTCGTTACTAGGGGAGATGGAACCAGATCATAGAAAAGTACACACTGGCTCCTATGGCTTCTGCTGAGAAGTGATAATCACCTCCGCTGTCATTTCATTGGCTAAAGCAAATACCTTGGTTGATATGTAGCTTCAGATGGATAGAGAAATACAATCCTTCCATGTATCCATAATGAGAGAGATCTGGAATATTTATGAACAGCCTAATGACTATCTTTTTAAAGATCAAACTACTGAAAGTATGGAAAATAAAAAGGGTGGCAGGAATGGAGGTACAATTGAGCATATCAGGTCATAGAAAGGTTTATTAGCAGTTAAGTCAGAGGGTCTAAAAAGGTGGTTGCAACCACATGTCTGTAATGACACTGACAAAACCAGGGGCATTGTGGCCTAGACTAAAATTGCTGGATTAAAGGATAAGACATTGATTTTAACAAAATTCTTTGCAGCATCTTCTTCTGAACCCATGTATGCTGGGACAGCCTCAAACTAGGTGAACTAACCTGGCATCTGGCTTGAGGTACAGAAGGTTAGTCAGTAATACCAAATGTATACCTTTGCCTTCTGTCTTCTGGTACAATGTTTTTACAGCTCTCTGGAATGTTGTGTTCCTTAAACTCTAATCATGTAAAAAATGGAATTCATAATTCCTGTGTACCCACCAGCCAGCATCAATATCCTGCCTTTCTTTCATTAAGATTATTTTTGTGATTGAGGGATTATGAGATAAACCAATGATCCTTGGGCCTGTGTAATCTGATGTTGAGTGTGGGCCAGGTAATATAATCTGGATGTCAAAATTCCAAGGGCACCTGAATCCACTCAGTGATAACAAGGGCCCACAAAGAGATCATTGTCAGATTAGTCTTCAAGGGATACATCTTTGACACGCCAGTTCTCCTGAACACCCACTGCCAATTGGGGGGTTGTTACCTATTGTGATGAGATGGCAGGGTAAACTTGGAGGAGTCTGTATCACATAGTACGAAGAAATGATGGAAAGCTTTTAAGTATTTATTCTTTCTGAAGTGGCCTTGAGGAGTTTTTCCACCAGCTCCCACATTGCTGATAGCACAGGGTGAAAAAAGATTAAGATTCTGGCACTCACGGGTCTTTTTCATCGTTCTCTTTTCCTGGCACTCCAGAAGCCATGGCTGGTAAGGACAGAGCCGATGGGGTCAGCAAGGCAATGGTCAGCTCCCAATCTCACATCAGTCGGTGAAAACTGGGCCACAAATAGGCTTCAGATGAGTTTGCCAAGCAAGAGGTAGTTTATTTAACTGTCACTCTCACAAGATCAGGTAGATACTTTAACATGTTATTGAAAGTTTGGGTTTAGAATTCAAATTTAACCTGGAGGAGAGTAGGCTTTGCTAATACTCAGTTGTTACCTGATAGCAGTTACTTCCCTGCAATTAGGGTTCGAAGGTGAGTGTCAGAGACTGAGTGAGCAAGGATGAGGAAAGGTGAGTCAGATATTTTCCACTGGGAGGTTCTTCTGTACTTGTGCCCCTTGTAGTAATTCGAACACATCAAGGAGATATTGGGAAGTACTCATCTCACGGTAGACACAGTGATTTTTCTTGTTGGAAAGTGGTTTGGGGTGGGAGCTGGTGAGGGAACAATGTGTGTGAAGATTTCTCATTCACTAAAACGATGTTGCTGCCCACAGGTAATAATCTTGGTCTTCAGGAAAATAGTGTCCTCATCAACTTCCTGGGCTTCACACTTAGGACCTCGGAGAGCTCCCAGCTGTTCCTGCACAAATCCTTTAAAAAACTCGGCCAGCAGAACAGCATTTCTTTTGCTAACCAATACTTCGTATTGTACTTGAGATGGCATTGTTGCTCCTATCCCCAAGATTCTCAAACCCTCCCCATGTGCAAGACTGTTGGTTCCTGGGTTTGGAACAGGAAGTCTGTCAGTGTCCCTGGGATTAATGTTAGCCTTTCTTATTTCTGTTCTGTCAAGAAAGGACAGTTGTATTTGTTAATAATCAAGGGGACCTCAAATTGCCTGCATATTAGAATTACCTGGTGAGCTTTGAAAAAAGAGTCCTAATGTCCAGGCTGCTGCATGCCATTTTATTTAAAAAGCTCTGTAGGTGATTCCAACATCCAGCCAAGGTTGAGAACAACTATCCTACATATCAGTTGGTGCATGGTCTGCTAATCTATATTTCAGGAAAGCTCCCCAGGTTATTCTGTTACAGTGAGTCAATGAACCTACTTCTCATTAACACTTGCCCAAAGAATAATAAATGGCTGCTGAAGGAGACTACTGCAGGGAGGGAGGAAGTGAGGGAGAGGAAGCTCAACAAAGAATTGTATCCTGTGACTATACAACATCCACAGAGATTTTCTTCAGCAGATTTTGAAGACATCTACAAAAGAAAAAAGGCCTGCAAATTTGTGATATGATTCCATAACTGGAAAAGGATTCATCTTCCTTACTGACAGATTTTAAAGGACTGACTTTTGGGTTTTGAATTTTTTTTGCTGGTTCAGAAAATCACTCCCATGCAATTAGGCAACGTCCCAAAATATTGTGAATGAAAGAAAAACACTGCTGTAGACACGGTGCTACACAGGGATAGGGTTCACTTGCAGTTAGTCTGCAGTCATTCTGTGATCTCCATAAACACCCAAAACGATGGTAGTGACCCTTGATCAGTACAGGAATGAAATGTATTAGCTAGTGATTTATGATGTATAGTTTAAACTCCGAAACTCCCCTTGAGGTACATATACCAGCTTGTCTACATTGTTTTCCAAATAGATCTACACATGTTTACAAAGCCTGGTTTTGGCTATGTGACCAAATGCATTTAAAAGACCTCTAAGTAAATTTGTGCATTGGTTCCTCTGAAACTGAGATACGTCACATATATTTGGTGGTTTGTGATCTGAGATAAATAATGTCCTGTGTGACTCAAAACGGTCCCTAGAATCTATGCCTGCATGTCTCAAAAACCTTGATGTTTACCTGTATTTTATTTTATTGGGTTTTTTCTTATGCTATATTATAGACTTTGTCTTTCTTGGAGTCTTACGTAAGTATTAACATAATTTGTGAAGTTATGTGAGTCCTTTCAGTATTTTACCCTGGGTAACTGCTTTAATTGCAGTTGCCTATTTTAATGTAAAACACTGAGCTTGAAAGGAAATATATTTTTGTAAAATGAAAATCAGGCTCAATGTATTTTAGAGTTCATTCCCCATTTAAGAAAATAATTTAGCTAAGAGGCATGGGGGGTGGATGATGTCAGGTTGCTTGGTGGGTACAATGTGTGTTGCTTCAGTGATGTATGCAATGAAGGCCCTGACTTCACCACAATGCAATAAATCAATGTAACCAAACTACACTTGTTTGTAACCCATGAATATATGCAAATAAAAAATAAATAAGAAAAAAAGAAAATTTAGGAGACTTTCCTGCTACATTTTAGAGAAGGATTAATCAAAACATCTTTTATGTTTGGCTTATGCTGTTTCAAAGGGAAGCATATTTTGCATACCTTGTGTGGTGGGGAGGAGAGAATAGAAGCCTATTTTATTTGACCATAGGATCAAGCCACATTGTCCAATCAAACAATAAATACCAGGACTACAGCAAATATTTAATTTCCACCTATCTGATATCAAGAACTATCTCTCAAACTATTTAGAATTCAGAAGGGGCATATAACCTGTGAATAGTCATCTTCCTCAACCCCCAAATATGTGGCTGATTTAGAAGAAACAAAATCATTTATAAACATGATGACTTCTATTACAGTTGATCCAATCTAAAATACTTTGGTTATATGATGCACCAATAGTTTACATACCATATTCTCCATTTAAATATGTAAAGCCATCAACTGTATGCCACATTTTAATTTCAGCATTGGTAATATGTGGGAAAAAATGTCCATCTTAAAATTGATAAAATACAAAGTTTACTAGAGAGTCACAAAATCTTCCAGACCCATTTACAAATACTAGCAAACACTAGGGAGAAAAAGATATGCAGTATTGTGTTGAGATTTCTTACTAAAACAATGAGCCATTGTAGTTTGATGAAATTTATGTGGCATTATAAAGATTCACTGCAGATATTCTTTGGGAAGGTTTTATGTACATTTAAGCATATGTACTATGTAGTCACAATTGTCATGCTAACACATGCAATTCTCAGTATGAACAATCATATTTTATAATAAAAATAGGTACAAAACACTTACATACTTGGTATTGTTCTGGTATATTTTTTGCATTGTTTTCTGACCAGCATATTTATTTACATATTTAATACTTTCTACATGACAACAGCAGAAAAATGATACCCCCTATAAAATGATACCCATGAAAGCATGATTCCTCAGATTCATTAAAGTATAGAATTTCTTCCTCAATGTGAATGTAAAATCTCTGACACTGACGCAGCTGAATTTTATGCCAACGACATCTCCTCAATCAATCCATACACATATGTTCCTTCCTGTTTGTTCCCTCTGGCCTATATTCAAGTGACATTTATTGGGACAGGTATTACCTCCTGACTGGCATTATACCGAACACTATTCCCTGATGGGAAATGGCATGTAAGTTTGAAAAGAAGCTTGTCCACATTTGCTGCAATCTTGAGGTTTCACTCTTATGTAAACTGTGTGGCATAATGAGCTATTCCCTCTCAATGACAACTTTCAGACATTCACTTCTTTCATGATTTCTTTCTGCTATGAGTTTTCTGATGTAGAATGAGGCTAAATTTGTGGGAGAAAGTTTTCCAACACTCGCTGCATCCATAAGGTTTCTCACCTGTGTGAGTTCTTTGATGTATAATAAGATGTGACTTCTGGGCAAAAGATTTCTGACACTTGCTGCATTCATGAGGTTTCTCTCCTGTATGCGTTTTCTGATGTAGAACAAGGCTAAACTTGATGGGAAAAGTTTTCCCACATTCTCTGCATCCATACGGTTTCTCTCCTGTATGGATTCTCTGATGAATAATGAGGCTAAACTTGTGAGAGAAAGTTTTCCCACATTCAAGGCATTCATAAGGTTTCTCTCCCGAGTGAATTCTCTGATGGATAAGGAGATAGGACTTCCGGCTGAAGGCTTTGTGGCAGTCACTGCATTCATACGGTTTCTCTCCGGTGTGGGACCTCTGATGAATAGTCAGGTGTGACTTTTGAGTGAAAGCCTTCTGACACTGACTGCACGCATAGGGTTTCTCACCTGTGTGAGTTCTTTGGTGTAGGATGAGGCTAAACTTGATGGAGAACATTTTTCCACATTCATTGCATCCATAGGGCTTCTCTCCCGTGTGAGTTCTCCAATGGGTATTGAGGAGTGACTTCACACTGAAGCCTTTCCCACATTCACTGCAGTGATAAGGTTTCTCTCCTGTGTGAGTTCTCTGATGTCTAATGAGCTCAGACCTCTGGATGAAGGCTTTCCCACATTCATTACATCCATAAGGTTTCTCCCCAGTATGAGTTTTTTGATGTAGAATGAGGCTAAACTTAAGGGGGAATGTTTTCCCACATTCATCACAACCGTAGGGTTTCTCTCCTGTGTGAGCTCTCTGATGAATAACGAGCTGTGACTTATTGCTGAAGCTTTTCTGACATTCACCACAACTATAGGGTTTCTCTCCTGTATGAATTCTTTGATGTAAAGTCAGTTGTGACTTATTGCTGAAGCCTTTCTGACATATATGACACTCGAAGCGTTTCTCTCCTGTGTGAGTTCTTTGATGTTTATTAAGGCATGACTTATCAGTGAAAGCTTTTCCACACTTATTGCACTCATAGGGTTTCTCTCCTGTATGGGTTCTCTGGTGTAAAATAAGATGGGACTTGCGGCTGAAGGCTTTCTGACATCTACTGCATCCATAGGGTTTCTGTCCTGTGTGTGTTCTTTGATGCTTACTGAGGTCTAACTTCTGGGAAAAGACCTTCCCACAGTCACTGCAGTCATAGTGTTTCTCTCCTGTTTGAGTTTTCCAGTGTCTAATCAGCTGTGACTCATGGCTGAAAACCTTTACACATTCATTATATCCACTGCATTGTTTTCCAGTATGAATTTTCCCATGCTTAGTATAAAAAAAAAATTTGTCATATCCATTAAATTCAACTTCATCTCTTGCATAGCTTCCATTCTGAACAACATACTCTAGATTAGGTTTCAGATGTTTCCCAAGTGTGTCCAATGTACGAGATCTTGATGCTAAAGGCACACAAAGGTTTGGGCTCAGATAAGATACTATTTTCCCAAATGTGTATTTGTGGTCACTATCCATAGTTTGAAGGCTGCTTTGGTTTTCTTGGTGCCATTCTGTGTGATCGTTGACTTGCCAGGCATCCCCTAGAAAGGAGACCAATGAATCCCCAGTGATCGTGTAATAGAAGGGGATAGAATCTCATAGCAAAGGCCAAAGAGAGAAGAGGAAATGAGACTGTGGGCAAAGAATGAAAGTCTGAGACAGTTATAAGTGGAAGGAAGAAAAACATAGAGGAAACTATAAGGGGTATGGGATACACACAAACTGAGAAGGGAGGAAAATTTATGAATACTTGAGGGTGTAAGAAAAGGGAGCTATGACTGTGGGTTAGGGGGATGGAGACAAGGAAAAAGCAGGTAAATGGAAGACGCCAGGGAGACAGATGGACCAGGAAAGCAAGTTCCAGGATGAGACAGACAGGGATCTGATCAAAGTACATAAAAGAAGGACATGTATTCTTTTAAAAGCCAAGCAAAAGAGTTCTAGTATGGAAAGATTAAAAAGTAGAGGCAATATTAAGTATGTGGGGAGTTTACGTCAGCTGTTTTGACTCATATTCAGAGCTTAAGAACTTAAAAAAAGTTTCTCCAAACATTTCAGAGGTGTATCCCTATTTCTGACCAACTAGAATATTACTTCTATTTCTCTCATGGGGCTGTTTTTTCACTTACGTGGATGAATCTGATTCTGGATTTCTTCCTCTATTATCCATAGTTTTCCTTGCTCCAACTGGAAGAATGCATCTGCTTTGGTAACCTGATACCCTATTCAAGGAAAATTACAGAGGACTGATGGAGCCAAATACTTGGGCTATAAGATTTCTGAAAATGGCAAAGATTACATTTAAGGGGCTGAATAATTTGCATCTTGGCCAAGTTAAGGCCTTTTACTTTGGAGGTAAGAGAAAAACACTCTGTTAGAGGCTAAAAAGGTACTAAGAATCTATCATATATAAAACTCAAGTCTTAAAAAAAGTAAAGCATTTGTGAGGCCCCACCCCTTTATCACTGAGAAAGGAAAAGTAATTGATCGCCTACACCGGAGAAGCTGTGCTTACCCACTGACACTAGGTTGCTATAATTTTCCAACATCACTTCTTGATACAAGTTCTTCTGAACAGGGTCCAGTAGCTGCCACTCCTCCCAGGTGAAACCCACAGCCACATCCTTGAATGACAGTGAGCCCTGTAATAGATCATTCCTATTCATTCTAAAGGATTATCATTGGATAATACTATGAAGAGAAATGGGAATTTCTTATAATAACTTTTCCCATAAGTCATTTGGCTGCCTTCCATGGAACTAGTTTTGTGTTATACTAACATGTAGTAGTTTTGTGTAGGGGCAAAAAAAACCCCATTTTTTATTTAGAATATCCAATCTTTATGCTTCCATTCAGTCATTCACTGACCCACATGTTCAATCATTCATTCGTAAAAGAGAAACACAACGTCCTTAAATCCTTTAATCTAGAAACCTAGAAACCATTTACAACCTATGTGTATGCACCTATGTGTCAGACACTGTAGTAGGCATTCTTTATAAATAAAACTCACTCCTACCCTGAAGGAGCATTCTAGCTTACAAAGCGAAAATGAAAAGTGCATGAGACTACAATATATTTATACAGGGCAAGTAAGATATATATACCCTTTGGGCACCAATAGGGAGGAGGAAAAATGATAAAGGTTAAGCTTTACGGAGATAGCTATGGAACTAATTCTTAGGAGATCAATTCCATGCTTTATAGTGAGTTGCAGAGGGGAGAGGTGGCATGGCATTCCAGAAAGAAGTAACATGAAAGATGGCACAATGAAACCATAATCATTCACCAGATAGGCTGACAGAGAAGAGGGTATGATAATAAGAAAAAGAGATAAAGAGGCACACTAACACCAGACGGGAATATATGAGGATGGTCCCATTAGATTAGAATGGAGCTGAAAAATTCCTATCACCTAGTGACACAACAGCCATCGTAATGTCATAGCACATGGCATTACTCATGGGTTTGTGGCGATGCTGGTGTAAACAAACTACTGCGCTGCCAGTCACATAAAAGAAAAACATATAATTATGAACAATATATAATACTTGATAATGATAATAAACAACTGCTACTGGTTTATGTATTTTCTGTATAATATTTTTTATTATATTAATAATTTTACAGTATTTTTATCCTTCTACTTATAAAAAAAAGTTAACTACAAAGCAGCCTTAGGCAGGTCCTTAAGGAGGTATTCCGTAAGAAGACATCGACATCCTAGGAGATGACAATTCCATGCATTTTACTGCCCCTGAAGACCTTCCAAAGGGACAAGATGTGGAGACGGAAGACAGTGATACCGATGATCCTGACCTGTGTAGGCCTAGACTAATGTGTGTGTGTCTTAGTTTTTAACAAAAAAGCTTAAAAAGTAAAAATAAAAATATTAAAAGTAGAAAAAAGCCTTATAGAATAAGGATATAAAGAAAGAAAATATTTTTGTACAGCTGTACAATGTGTTTTAAGCTAAGTGTTATTATGAAAGAGTCAAAAAGTTAAAAAATTAAGAAGTTTATAAAGTAAAATAGTTATAGTAAGCTACACTTAATTTATTACTGATTTTTTTTTTTATAAATTTAGTGGAGCCTAAGTGTCTAGTGTTTATAAAGTCCACAGTAGTATAGTGATGTCCTAGGCCTGCACACTCACTCACACTCACTCACTGACTCACCCAGAGCAACTTCCAATCTTATAAGCTCCATTCATGGTAAGCAATACAGGCATACCATTTTTTATCTTTTATATTATATTTTAACTATGCCTTTTCCATATTTAGATACATAAATACTTACCATTGTGTTATAACTGCCTACAGTATTCAGTACAGTTATATTTGGTATAGGTTTTTAGCCTAGGAGCAATAGCCCAGGAGCCATAGCACATAGCCTAGATGTGTAGCAGGCTCAACCATCTAGGTTTATCTAAGTACACTCTATGACATTTGCGCAATTATGGAATTGCCTAATGATGCATTCCTCAGAATGTATCCCCATTGTTAAGAGACACATGATTGTATTAGAGACAAGTTTGACCCACAATTTTATTAACTGTTTAAAACCTCATGGACTATAACCTATGTTCTAACTTTAAGCTATCTGTATAAACATATGATTTACGTATTCCCATTGCAACCTGGCTATGAAGTTGATCTTTAATCTCATTATGTTTTTACTGAATTCTGACATTTATCTATTCATGCTGTATCTGGCATAGAGTAGTCCTCATAAATACTGAGCAAACATATTATTCTTTTAATTACAAGTATTACTAAACTTCCTCCACTTTTCATTGGAAAACCAAGTGAAAAATCAGTATGTAAATGAACAACTCACTTGGGACTTGGACATTTTCTGGAGCCCTTAGACCCAGCCAGCAACTCGATTATTTGCTCTATTGTTGACTCTGGGCTCTTCGCTGAAGATGGTCTCTTGTCAAGGATAAAGTGCTGATCTTAGTACCTTTACTTCCTTCCCTCATAGGAAATAGTTTATCCCAGGAAGCTAGGACCTGAGGATTAAAGAAATTCACTGCTGTAATAAACTGTGAGTATAACAGATTTTCTGAGTTGTGTTAGTCCTTATATGTATGTGTGTTTTAGATATACACACACAGATATATATGTATAATTATCTAAAAGTTAAATGTGTTTTCTTCAGGTGGTAGGTTAATATAATAATTTAAAGAAAAAAATAATACATATTACCTGATAGTTGATTTTATAATAAACATATAATTATTTTATAGTAAATACCAACAACAAAATTATCTTCATTAAATTATGGAATTTTGCCAAAACTATCTTCAAAACTAATCTTCATTTAGAGAAAGACAGTTATAAAGAGGAAGGGCGAAAAAAAAGTCAAGAATGAGAAATTTTTAAAAGCCTAAAAATTCCAGAGAAACAGGTATAAAAAGTGGAATACTGTTTGCAAATCTGTTTTGGGTACCTACTATGTGCTGGACATGTTTACTATATGAGTAGTTACTAGTGATTTTTTTTTAAACAAATGGGAAAAGGATCTCAGAGAGGTTGAGAAACTTGCCCAAGTTCCCACAGTAAGTACAGAATCCAGACAAAAACCTAGGTCTGCCCAAATCCCAAGTCTGTATTCTCTTTTCTCTGCATCAAACTTACCTGCAGGTGTTCTGACTGCTTACCTAGAAAACCTACAAGAATCAATTAAAACACATGAGTAATAATAAAAAGTTCAATAAGGAAAGGAAAAATAAAATATTTCTTAAATTAGCTGCTTTTCTACCTACCAGAAAATAAAAAAATAACAAAAAGTTCAAGCAAAAAGAAAAGCCTTTTGCAATAGCAGCAAAAGTATATATGATGTGGAAATAAAGCTAACAAGTAATGTCCAGACCTATGTGAGTATTTTAATATGTCTTGTCTACCTAAATTATTGCAAAGATTTAATTTAATTTCAGACAACACTGCAAGGGGATCCACATATATAATACTATGCACATATCAACAAGGCTTTGTACTAAAATCAGTAATGGTGGAACAATTTTATCACATAAGGTTAAGTTTTTTTAAAAAGCAAATTATAAACTACTTATTCAGTGTTATCACATTTTTATAATAAAACAAATCACAGCAAAGTATGGAAAAGAAAATAAAACAAAATGTTAACAATGTATATCTCTGGATATCAGGATTTGGGATGTGGGAATGTCCCTTGATGTATCAGAAGGACCTAAAAGGGAAGAGCCTAGAGAAATATGCAGTAAGTGTGAAGACCAGAGCGCCAGACACCACAACTTTCATAATAAGCATTTCACCTTAAATTTGTTTGGACCCTAGTCATTTCAAAGCAGTTTTCATTGTTGTGGAAACATGGAGGAGAGGGGGTGATTCGGAGGACAGAGGAAGTTGGAAAGCAGGTTTTAAAGAAGGCAGTAACGTCATCTATTAGAAGTCAGCGAGCTTTAAAATCCCAACGCCCTCCAAAACACAAAGACTTCTGAAGCTCCAACTCCCACAAATCTCTTGGCTACCAATGCCTACCCACATCATACCTAAAATATGGATCACACGGCCACCCCAGATCGTTCTGATTTTGAGTCCTACTATCACTGTCCTATCAAGACCCAAACACTCGGACCCTCCAAGACAAGAAACAAGGCTGCCCCAAACGATGACCTTTCCACAAGGCCACCTCACTCACTGACCACCCCAAGGATGCACCAATCACTGACCTCCCTCCTCCCAACTATAGCCAAACATTGACCTACGCCAAGAACATCTCAGTCACTGACTTCACCTCTTGGACACTTCAGTTAGTGACCAATCTTCCAAGCACATCCCAAGGATTCGCCTTTTTCCAAGCCGCTGACATCGTCCCTTTCTCCAAGGCTGCCCCAAGAACTGAGCTTCGCCAAGAAGACCTTCTTAGACGCTGACACACCCCCAAAGACACCCCAACTTCCTTAAAGGGCACCCCACTCACTGACCCCAAGAACATCCCAATGACTGAACCACTGCCTAAGTCACGCCAATCACGGATCTGCCTCCAAGACCACCCCAGTCACTAACCTGCCCTACCAATCCTAACCCCAAGCACTAACATTCCTCTCCAGGCCACCCCGATCCCTGACCACTCTGAGGCCGGCACCATTCCCTACCCTCCCGCTTCTCCACAAGGGCTTGCTACTGTCACGGACTCCCCTGCCATAAATCCCAAATCTCCTTAAATCCAGCTGCTGACTCCGCTCCCGGAACGCGAAACTGAAACCCGTTAAAAGATCCTTAGTGCACCGGCTGGGTAGAAAGAGCCACGGTCCATCACTACTGCTTCAGACTCACAAGCCCGGGTGCTCCACCTCACCGGTCAAGTTTAACCTCCGTAGCCTCCGAGTCTGCAGGCTGCCCCACCACCTGGGGCAGATTCGGTTCAGTTTTGGGGTCTTTTAGACAAAGACACTGAGAAAGAGTATGGCGGCGCCCTTTAACCGATTTATTTGGGGACCGCCATCTTGGAAAGTCGGCCGTACAACCGCTTTCCCCGCCCAAGATAACCATTGGTCCCCGTGAGTCAATCACAAGCGCCGCGAACGGCGATGCGCATGCGCCTGCTGCTCTCGCGGGTCCAATCCCCTTCACAAGACGCATCAAACCCAACATGGCCGCCTCTGCTTTGCCTCTGGTATGCACGAAGCTGCGCATTACAGCGGGCGCGGCCATCTTGATGAAGGTGTACATATCCGTACAGAAAAGAACGCCCTCCTGTAAGGGTAAAGAGCAAGTGAAACGGCGACCGTGAATGTTTCTGGAGGATGATATAGGGTTTGGAGATCATTGTGGGCAGAGTCAGCCCAACCAGTTGAAGGAAAAGCTGTCTCCCAGCCAGGATTAGTGGTTGGATCAGATTTAGAATTTACGATACATATGTAAATACTACTTCTAGTTCAGCCATATAATATACTATAATTACTTTTCCTTTATTGCACAATATTTTATTGTCCCTGGAATTATCTCAATTATTCCTTCCAGAATTTCTGGCTTTGGTTCTCAGAAAGTCCCGCCCTTAATACTGGTTCCGCCCCCCCAGAAGGGAAGCCTATATCTCCCCTAAGAAAAATCCCGCCTCCCTTTTTGGATTCCCTCTTCCCATTGGCTCGTGACTAAGCTCTTCTGTGCTGGGCGGTGCCTACGTCCCGCAAATATAAACTAGGTTCCTCCCAGACGTTGTTTTTTCACCTACCTTTGGAGGCATGGCCATTATCCCTATGCCACAATTGCTTTTCCAGACCTTTTTGTGTCCTCAAAATCTTCCTCCTGTCCTCCACATGTACCCAGAAGCGTTCCGCAGTAATCGCCTATCGGCCTCTTCGCTCTTTTTCCTCCGCCGAGGAAGGGTTAACGTGTGTACGGACACCGGACTTCTAAGATGGCCGTGCCCACGGTGTCATTTCCTTAACGTTTCTCAGCGCAAAGTGGATCTTTTCTCTCCAGCCCGCCGAGGTCGACATAGCCCGACCCATGTTTGTCTCGTGTAAGCTCGAGCCTCTAAGAAGCAATGAACCTGCGGCCCAGGGCTTAAGGTGCCAGGAAATGGGGTGGTTTCAGTGCTTCTTCGCCTTTCCGAACTCTCCCTTGCTACTTGGCCGATAACGGCCACTTTGCCTTCTGTACGTCCGGTATTGAAAGATGGCCGCCCCGGGATCCGTTACGACGTGGGCGCGGACATATTACCTGGGCAGAGACCAGCCGGAAATCCAGGCGTCTGTGCTCCGTACAAACGCTTTGGGCCCTCGTCGGCCGCCGTAGGCCGGCTGGGAGGCTGGGCGAGGGCCCAGAAGTGGAGGAATTGGCGGAAGTGTAGACTCCTAGGAGGTCCCGGGGGCTCCAGGAAAAAATCAGGTTAGTGTGTGGGTCTCTCTGTGGAACAGGATGAGGGGACGAGGGTGTCTGTGGGTGTCCGTGTAGTGTGGAGCTTTGGGGCTCGTCCGGGGAGCGGAAGCAAGTGGGGGTTTGTGACCGAGTCCCGAGGGATTCCGGCGGTCAGCGATTTAGAGGGTCTGTCGAGATCGACGGGGAAAGTCCGTGGTCAGGACCACTCTGTCTGCACGGCTCAGTGATTGAGGACTGGAGGGGGCGTGGTTTTGTCAGTGAAAGCGGTGTCAGGTTCGGATTCCGGGTTTATTATAATACGTGGCTCGGGGAGACAGAAGCGGAGGCTCATCAAGGTCGGTGAACCCGGGTGTGCGGTCCCGGTTTCGGGGTCGTGACCATGGGAGTGTGACCAGTGTTCAGGGAGGGCCAGATGCGTCAGGCGTTGGGAGACTTGGGAAGCCGAAGCTTTGGCTGTCCAAGGACCCTGGCTGGTGTGTGTGTTCAGGTTCAAACGCTACAGATCCCCTCAGCCCTTTAAATTTCTTTGCGAGGACTAGTTTATAGATCTCCTTTGGCTTCTCACATTTCTTTCTCTTGTCCCCGTAGATAGGAAAGCTTTGGGGAGATCAGAATTAATCAAACCTAAAAAGGCAGAGTGTCTATTAAAGAAAAGGATTTGTCCTTCCTGAAAGCTTACTGTATGAATGTATGTATGTACACAAACAAGTAAATATGTCCTGTCGGCTTCATTCTGTCACAAGTGAAATAACACTTCTCTTACCCCAAAATGTGTTCCCCAGTGATGACTTTTGATAACATTTTTGTGCATTTCAATTTTCATTTTTCTATGCTTGATTTTCACAATTCAGATAAACTGTTGAAACATTGGTATAATTTTCCGTATTTAGTTTTATATAAACGTTCCTATAGTAAACGTCATAATTTTTATTTAAAAATTGTTTTTAAAAGATTTCTGTAATAGTACACCATCAAGAGGCAAACTTGCATCATTATGACTGGAATCACTAAGTAGATTGCATATATTTAGATAGAATTTCAGTAATTAAAAAGTTCAGTTATCACTTTTAAGAACAGATTATGATTCCAAGGATGATGTTCCCTCACCCTCATTCCACCTTGATTTTTAATTTTTTTCTGATTGTAAGTGGTGTGTTTTTATTTTTGACCTTCTCTTCTAATTTACTGTTACATAGAAGAGCAATTAGTTTAAAAAAATATGTATATTGTTTCTGGTAAATATTGTTTTGGTTTTTTGGCCTGTTAGTATTTTTAATATTAATAGCTACATAGTATTTCATTGGATGTGTGTACTTTTACTCATCCAGTTAATCCTCTATTACTAGACCTAAATGATACTTTTACATCAACTTTGCCTGTATGTGCCACTAGTTCCTTTGCAAAGATTTCTAAAGTAGATTTTGGGTTTTAGTAATATCTCTATTGAAAGTATTCAATATAAAGTGTTAAACTATTCCCAAAATTGTTTAGTCATTTAATACTGATAAAGAAGTATGTATGTTTTGGAATGCTGTCGATTTTTACATATAGGTTCTGTACTCAGCCATCTGACTAAAAACTTATTTTTCATATATATTCAATTGAATCTGTGAAACTCTAACTCTTCCTTAGTCGTATTGGGAAATATCATTTGTTTCCTCTTCTCTAGTACTGATTATTCTTCCTTGATTCTTTATCAAATTAATTGGGTAGCATTTCCAGAATAGTTAAGATAATGGTGGTGATACTGCTCATCCTTGCCTTGCTCTTGACTTAGAGAAAGTACTTCTATTATTTTACTAAATGTACGTAGGATATATTTGATTTTTTTAATTGAGATGAAATTTATAAGACATTATAAATTTTCACACACGTAATGAAATTAACCATCTTAAAGTCAACAATTCAGTGGCTCTTAGTACATACACTATGTTGTGCAACCTCCACTTCTATCTAGTTATAGAATATTTTCATCACCCCAGAACAGAAACCCTGTACCCATTTAGCAGTCACTCCACATTCCACATTCCCCCAGACCATGGCAACCACCAATGCGCTTTCTGTCTCTATGGATTTACCCAATCTGGATATTTCATATAATGGAATTATATAATATGTGACATATTGTGTCTGGTATTTTTCACTTGGCATAATGTTTCTGTTGTTGTGCATTGTGAGTTGAGGGACTCTAATCATTGATAGCCAGGCTGTCTACAACTCTGCCTTAGTCTTCACTTCCTGCTTGTACTGAACCTAGATGTCAGCCAGAGGGAAAGGTTGGGGTTGTCTCAGGAGGTATCCTGCCCTATGCATGCATGTGACTTTCTAAATTCCCCATTCTACACAAGTGCTTTTGAATGGCATAATTCCCCCAAGAAACTCTCTTGCCAGCTTTTGTATAGTGTGTATTTTTGGACAGTATAGTTAATCTCTAAGCCTTAGGTTTATGTTAGAATTGGAAATAATGATTTATACCTTTTAAGGGTGTAATGAAGCAGACAGTAATGAGAACTTTAGGTAAGACAGTGCCTATGCTTTGCTTAGCACATTTGCCTTCAGACTGAGGTGTGCCTGCACGCGAGGTGTACGACAGCTTTTGAACAGGTACACAGACACACATGGTTTTAAACAAACAAGTGTCCAGGTCCTCACCTTGTGTATACTCTCTTCCTAAAAACTGATCTCTCCGAGAACCCCTTGGTGTTGCGGCATCACATTGTTCTGGTTCTCCTTCCCCGTCCCCCCCTTCACAGTCACCCCACTTCTTCATAGAAGAAAGACATATTGCCTGTACATCTAGAATCTTATGTTTTATTACCCCAGGGCATAAAAGCTTCTGGGGCCCCAAATAAAGGGACAGGTAGAGGTGGCCTTGAGTTAAGGTGAGTGCACGGCAGCAGTGACACACCTGGGCTCAGAGGGAATGTCCACTCAAGTGAATTCACTCTTCAGCCCACAGGTCCCGGCGCCAGGACACATCAAGTGAAGTGAGGAAGAGGTTCCAGACCCTGGATATCGTCATTTGTGGGGATACCAATACCAAAGACTAAGATTTCTAAGGGCAGTTCAGGAAGAGACTACAGACGCAGCGTCCTAGTTACTGGCCATTTCCTGATAACAGAAGAAAATGATCAAGGCCCAGGTGACTTTTGGTTTGTTTTATTCTTTTCTTCTTTTAGGGATTGATTTCTGGAGGACTTTAAAAATCATTTGAATTAAATGGAAAAGTATAAATTGGTACAACAGGATTTGTACAGGAATAAACTTAGACTCTAACTTCAATATCTAGATAAGACAGGATCAGGAATATATTGTTCGTAGATATGGCATCATAGAAATACTTGGTTGTCCCTGGTTCCTGGCACAGAGCTCCTAAGACCCTTGGAATTTCCTGAGTGATAAGGGTGATAGGAGCCTCTTTTGTGCTAATGAGGTGACTCTTGGTGGACCCCTAAATAACTTCAGGATGAAGGCTGGTTCCCAAAAAGCCAAGCCTTGATTAGAAGCTTGGAACTTTCAGCCCTGCCCGCAACTCCTCCAGGGAGGGGAGAGGAGCTACAGCTTCAGTTCAGTCACCAATGGCCAATGATTTGATCAATCATGCCTATGTAACAAAGCCCACATAAAAACCTGTAAACAGTGGGGTTTGGAGAACTTCTGGGTTGGTGAACACATCGAGGTCCTGGGAGGGTGGTGTGTGCAAAGAGAGCACGGATATCCACACCATCCCCACACCCCACCACACCTTGCCCTGTGCCTCTCTTTCATTTGGCTCTTCCTGAGTTGTTTCCTTTATAAAAATCCAGCAATAGTAAGTAAAGTGCTTTCCTGAGTTCTGTGAGCTGTTCTGATGAATTATCGAACCTGAGGGTGGGTCGTGGGAAGCCCCAAATTTGTAACGAAGTCAACAGAAGTGTGGGTAACCTGGGACCCCACAATTGTCACTGGTGTCTGAAGCAGAGTTGGTCTTGTGAGATTGAGCCCTTAACCTGTGGGATCTTCACCAACTCCAGGAGTCAGTGTTGGAATTGAATCAAATTGTTGGGCACCTTTTTGGGGTCGGAGAATCGAAGTGGTTGATGTGAGGGAAATCCCACTCATTTGATGTCAGAAGTGTTGTGAGTAAAAACAACACAATAGAAGTCACAGTGCCTGATGTTGAAACATAATGTGTGACATGAACATCCTGTGGGTTATGTTAGCTGTCAGCTTCTGTCTGTAATGTCTCTGACAGTCACCACATCCAGAGAATCATGATAGTCATGGGATATGCACTAACTGAGGAGAAAGCAGACCAATTCCTTAGAGGGGTCACTATTACATGGCACTTAGGTGTCAGGACATTTTTGAATGGTTCTTCCTAGAGGTAATGTGATAGATGGTGTCTCTAACTGTAGCCTTCTCATAAATGCCAAAGCAAGGGTCCTCAGAGACCCCTTGGGAAGACACCAAGGGAACTCAGTGGACATAGTTCTTCATGGGGCCATAGCAAGGTGACCCAAGAACCCAGTCTTAGGGCTGTTAGGGTCAATCTGGGAGTAAGACCTAAATGGCCAAGGAAAATGGGAAGATTGCATGACTTTCTAAGATCCTGTGTGAACAGGTAGCTGACCTGGTGCTTGAGTACAAATTGGGCAGTAGGGAGTTGAAAGTCTTGTCTGGCAGGGCATGGGTGGTTGTGATCCTGAGGGTTTGCTTTAGAGCTTCCCCCTATCTAAGATAGTACACACTCCTTTTTCCATGTTCAAAGTCATTTCTTACCTGCTGCTTCCTCCTTTATTACCTTTTTAAATATTCAATCATACAAATGTACATGGATACATTTTATAGGTAAAAAGAAAAACTCCAATGATTACGGAGTATGTGTAGTAAAAAAGAGTTTCTTTCCTTATCCTCTAGTGCAGCTTTAACAAATGGGTAGTAGTGAATGCTTCCTGTCACTGTTACCTGTGTGTACATTTACATCTTATCTATTAACATATATAGTCATGCGCCATATGATGATGTTTTGGTCAATGGTGGAATGGACCTCATATATGACAGTAGTCCCATAAGATCATAGAGCTGAAAACTTCCTGTTTCCTAGAGACGTTGCAACATTGTAGCACAATTACTTCTCTTAAAAGTAAATTTAGTATAAACTGAGTGTCCAGCGTTTATAAAGTTTACAGTAGTGTACAGTAATGTCCTAGGCCTTTGCATTCACTCACCAACTCAGCCAGAGCAATTTCCAGTCCTGTAAGCTCCATTCATGGTTAAGTGCACTATACAGGTGTACCATTTTATCTTTTACACCATAATTTTACTGTTCCTTTTCTATATTTAGATATGTTTAGATGTACAAATACTTACCATTGTGTTATAATTGCCTACAGTACAGTAACTGCTGTACAGGTTCGTAGCCTCGGAGCAACAGACTACATCATATAGCCTAGGTGTGTAGTAGGCTCTCCCATCTAGGTTTGTGTAAGTACCCTCTGTGATGTTCACACAATGATGTAATTGACTGACACATTTTTCAGAATGTATCCCTGTTGTTAAGTGATGCGTGACTGTGTAATGTGTGTGTCTGTGTGTGTGTGTGTGTGTTTACAGAAGTATCTATCTTAACCCTTAGATCCTTGGATAGCACCTTTCCATTGTATCTCCTCTTTTATAAACTAGATTGGTAAATGCTTAACCTTAGCTATCCTCTATATTTATTAATCTATCTTATATGTTGTATCATTTTGAAAATGATAAGAACAGTGTCCTTCACATTCCATGTCAGTAAGAGAGAAACACTTCCTATTAAGCAGGACTGTGTTTCTCAGGAATCGCTGACCCCGGAGGACGTGGCCGTGGAGTTCACCTGGGAGGAGTGGCAGCTCCTGGGCCCTGCGCAGAAGGACCTGTACCGGGACGTGATGCTGGAGAACTACAGCAACCTGCTGTCAGTGGGTGAGGACTTGCCCCGTGTTGCTCAGAGGGTGCCCAGTCATTGTCCTTTCCTTCCTCAGCTTCTGAAAGCGCCGGAGGGCCTGTGGAGCTCTGAAGTGGCAGATTTTTCAGTCCCTTCTAGGCCCCAGCTAAGAGAATACAATGTGCCCCCTTTTGGGAGAAAAGCCTTTGCTTTGCAGACATGTAAATGATGTAGTTCCTAAAATAGAACATCCTCCCGTGTTGACAGACCGCAGCTTAATTCAGTGAGCCTAAGTCTTCTGTCACTTCGCATGAACAGGGTATCAAGCCAACAAGCCAGATGTACTCTCCAAGTTGGAACGAGGAGAACTATGGACAGCAGAAGATGAAATCCACAGTCGAATCTACCCAGGTGAGTGGGTGAGAGCCAGCAAGGAGGGCGGCAGAGCAAGCCATATGCTAGTCGTTTAGAAGCATCGCAGCCATGAGGGGGTCTGAGGGTGTGTGGATACAGCCTCCACGCATGCCTCTTCGCACACAAGTGTTCTTTAAGGTGTTTAGAGGAATGTCTACCTCTTTTTCTCCTCTTGGATTTGATCATAGTTTATTTCAGCTACATCTTGATTTTTTTTCCTCAAGGTTTCTTCTTCTTTAGGATTCTGAAGTCTCACCATTCTTCTCCCATCAGAACATCCCTGCCTGTTCTTTCTACCTCTCTTGCTATGAAATTCCACCTCCCATGCCTTTCTCCAAAGAGAGATCTTTGATCTCAGCACTGTCTTCTGACTACTGTACCTTCTTGCCCCTTTGGATTGTGTTGTCCACCTCAGATCTACATAATCTTTCTATCAGATATCAGCGATATCTCAATAAAGCTATTCAGAGAAAAGAATGAAGGTATGAAATCAGAAACATGCAAGTCCTTGTGGGGACCTGTCGAAAGATTGGCCTGAACTCGGCCACATGAAGGTTAAAAATATATGTAGGGGAACTAGTGGAGTGTGAACCTGCGTAAATAGGGTAATCGTGGCAAATTTTTATTTCTGGTTGACTGTTATGGACTTTATGTGCAATTGAGGTAGAATGGGGGGTTACAAGTTTGTTTTGTATTACCCTTGAATATACAGTCATACTTTTAATGGGCTGGCAGGAGTGTAGAAACAATAAAGTAGTTCTTAGCAAATGGAAGGCAAAACTGCTGAGAGTCTTGGTCTGAGATCAGAAGTGTTATCCTTTAGGAACCCTTAAATGATGGCAAACAAGACATTTACGTAGAATTTTGAAAGATAGTAAGCAGGTTTAGGGATCATTACAGCAGCAACATTGAAATAGGAACAATTTGAGTATCACATGTATACAGGCACAGAATGTGACTGAAAAAGGTGAGTTCCCTAGCAGCACATCTACTTCTGAAGACTGTGTGGTCCAGAGTTGATAGGGATCATTATTTTTCTCTTTCTGCATTCATATAGAAGAATGTGTTACAATAATCTAAAATGTTAGAGAGTTGACTACATAAGTTTTCCTTTAAATGAGATTGATGCTTTCGGAAATTTGGTTTGATGGTCTACATATGGAAAACAGATAGCAAGTTAGAGGAGTAAGATGACCATATAAGAATCTATCAGTTATCTTGAAATCAAATGTTGTGTTTACAACATTCTGACTCACTTCTTTGGGATAATAGTTTCTAATACCTATGTCTGCTTATTTCCCTAATCAGTATAGTGTTTGGTACCCCTGAATGGGCTTTTCCAAACCCAAATTTGAAATATTACAATAATCATAAACTTGGTCCTGTGCCTTCGTCTTGTTTCAATCTACACACTTTTTCCAAACATTTCATCCAGTCCTCTGTCCTTAAATATTTACTTACTGATGATTTCTACATTTTTATCTCCAGTCAAGACCTTTCTCAAGATTTATATATCTGAAATTGGAATTTTAATGTTTGTACTTGAATATATAAAACCCATCTCAAGATTGATATGCTTTAAAATGCAGTTGGTTTCCCCCACATTTGGAACCTCAGTGTTAGTCCCCATCTCATTAAAATGTATTACCCCACTATCCAGTGGCTCAATCCAAATAATTAGGAATAATCCTTAATTCCTCACTTTTATTAATCTCTTCATATTGAAATCATGACTGAACCTTATTTTTTCTTTCTCTAAATTAATCCCTATTTTTTCCACCTCCCTCTCCATTGCTCCCTCAAACCACTTTTCATAATTTTTATCTACCTTCTTTATTTCATTGCTTCCTTATTCAGTTGTGCCCTATGTAGAATGTCTGCTCACGGAAAATAAAGATATATTTCTCTTTTTTTATTTTTGACAACACCTTGATTTCAAGGAATATATTTAATTATATCACCATCATCAGCATAATGCTTGATCCATAGTCATAATTTAATAAGGATGTGTGGATCCTTATTTGTGCGAACGTGTCCCTTATCATTTTAAAGCAAATAGCCCTCCAACTGCTGTGGTCCAGTGCTAACAGTGACTTAATTTTATCGTCCCAGCATGCTTTATAAGATCACATTTAGAAAGCAGCCAAACCTGTATTTATTTATTTTGAACGAGCTAATATTGTTTATACAGTGGCTTGTTTTACCTTTTGTTTTCTTTGTTAAATTACTGTGTTTTACCCTCATTCAAGTGACACTGAACATATCTACGTGGAGTTTTAACCTGAGGTAATAGTGTAGTCAATCAACAGCCAGCCTACAGAAAGCTATTTGTGAAATAGTTTTATTTTGTTCCATCTCATGGAAAGATTTATTGTTCTTTTCTTTCCTAGAAATCAAGAAAGTTGACGATCATCTACAGGTACACTCACAAAACCAAAGATGTCTGAAGAGAGGGGAACATAATGCATTTGGAAACATCATTCAACAAAGAAAAAGTAATTTTCCTTTAAAGGAAAATCATGATATATTTGACTTACATGAGAAAATATTAAAATCAAATTTAAGTTTAATCAACTTGAACAAAAGCTGTGAAATCAGGAATTCTGTTGAGGTTAATGGAGATGAGCAATCTTTCCTCTGTGACAAGCATGAACAATTTCATAATGAAATGAAATTCCCTGAATGTGGAAATTCTACGAATATAAATTCACAACTCATAAAGCATCAGAGAACTCAAAAGATGATACATAAACCCCATATATGCAATGAATGTGGGAAAGCCTTCCTCAAGAAGTCTCGCCTCACTGATCACCAGAGAGTTCATACAGGAGAGAAACCTCATGGATGCAGTATATGTGGGAAAGCTTTCTCTAGAAAGTCCAGACTCACTGAACACCAGAAAACTCATGTACGAGAAAAACGGTATGAATGTACTGAATGTGACAAAGCATTCCGCTGGAAATCACAGTTCATTGCACATCAGAAAATTCATACTGGAGAGAAACCCTATGTATGTGATTGTGGAAAAGGCTTCATCAAGAAGTCTCGGCTCATTAATCATCAGAGAGTTCACACAGGAGAGAAACCTCATGAATGCAGTCTGTGCGAAAAAGCATTCTCCAGAAAGTCCAGGCTTGTTGAACATCAGAGAACTCATACAGGAGAGAAGCCCTATGAATGCACTGAATGTGACAAAGCATTCCGTTGGAAATCACAACTCAATGCACATCAGAAAACTCATACAGGGGAGAAATCATATATATGCAGTGATTGTGGAAAAGGCTTCATTCAGAAGGGCAATCTCATTGTACATCAGCGAACTCATACTGGAGAGAAGCCTTATATATGCAACGAATGTGGAAAAGGCTTCATCCAAAAAGGCAATCTCCTTATACATCAGCGTATTCATACTGGAGAGAAACCCTATGTATGCAATGATTGTGGGAAAGCCTTCAGCCAGAAGTCATGCTTAATATCCCATCAGAGATTTCACACAGGAAAGACTCCCTTTGTATGTACTGAGTGTGGAAAATCCTGCTCACACAAGTCAGGTCTCATTAACCATCAGAGAATTCACACAGGAGAGAAACCGTATACATGCAGTGACTGTGGGAAAGCTTTCAGAGATAAGTCATGCCTCAACAGACATCGGAGAACTCATACGGGAGAGAGACCCTATGGATGCTCTGATTGTGGGAAAGCTTTCTCCCACTTGTCATGCCTTGTTTATCATAAGGGAATGCTGCATGCAAGAGAGAAACGTGTAGGTTCAGTCAAGTTGGAAAATCCTTTCTCAAAGAGTCACAGCTCATCTCATACAAGTGATCTTATTCAGGATAAAAACCCTGTTAACATGGTGACCATGCAGATGCCTTCTGTGGCAGCTCAGACTTCATTAAATAACAGTGAGTTCCAAGCAGATAGCAAGGTACCCACTGTGGGACAGCCAGTTGCCAGATATTCATCCTCAGCAGACAACAGAATTTGCACAGAAGAGAAACCTTATGGATGCAGTGAATGTGGTAGTGCTTTCAGTGATCAATTACATCACATTTTATGTCACAGGAAAAAACTGTGATACATTCAAGGTGGAAAACCCTTGAGTAAAACCTTCTAGTTCATTATAATTATGTGGCTAATAAGCATATAATGACAGCAAAATAATGAGAATGCAGAGGCTGGGAAAGTCTATTATGGAAAGATAGACCCTATTAATCTAGAGTATGTCTTCCATGAGCTCACAGTTGGTAGAAATATAATGACCATGGAAACGTCCTTGCCCAGACATAAAACCTCAGTAGGTCTCTCCTGTTCTGCAGGAGAGAAACTGTTGGAAGACTGTTGAAGGCCATGAATGTGGCAGAGTTGGCAGTAGTACATTCTGCCTCATCAATTGTGAGAGGAAATCATAGAAATAAAACTATGAACACACTAACTGGAACATCTCCAAAATATGAGAGAACACATGAAACCACCCCTGTGAAAATGAACATTTTAAAGATTTCTGTCATAAATCTAACATCATTATACAGCAGATAATATACAGGAAGTATATTTTAGGACAGTATACCTTGAATCAAACTCCTAGTTGGTATGTCGGTGACTCCTTAAATTAAAAGGAGGTTGTCTGTGTTGCACATCCTTGGTAAAATTTATAACACAATTCACCCCTCCCCTCTTTTCTGGGCAGGAGTCTTCCAGTCCCAAACAAGACCATTATATGATTAGCTCTTGTGTTTCTTTGATTACTAAATTTATTTGTTACTTTAGACTCTGAAGTCCTTCAAAAGGAAACTTTGAATATATTTAATTCTATAATGTAGCATACCATGTTTGGATGTGTTTACTTTGTAAATATGACCCCAGGGGAATGAAGTTCAAAACTCGTGAGTAACCAATCAGCTATGCTCTTACCTTAGAAGGTAGTTTTCATCCTAACTCTGGTTTGTCTTATTGTTGATATACACAACACTCAGAAACATTTTTTTTCATTTATTCCCTGTAATAGGTACTATAGGTGATGGCAGTGATAAACAAAATTTTGAGCCAGCACTTTTTAAAGCTGGATTATATGCATATAGCAATTTTATCCTCCAGCAAATGTATATACCCATATAAGTCGAAAGGGACATACAGCATAAGGATTAAAGTGTCCTGATAATTTCTTTTTCAAGGGATATTATTATTTGGAGTGGGAAGGGGAAAGGACACAATTTTACTTACATAAAACAGGATATGAATACTTTTTAAAAAATGTTCATGTCCTATCTCTACCTAGATTTTAAATTCCTTGATAGTTTGTAGATAATTGTGTATTTCCCAGCACATACCAACATAGAAATCAATTATATGTAGATTTGGAAGGTGAATGAAGGTGCATGATTGACCCAAAGGACAATCAATCAAAATTGTTTTTGTCATTGAAGGAAAGGAGATGCTGGAAAGAAATTCTAAGGATTAGTACTATTAAAAAAAAAAAGAAAATTTTAAAAAGTCCTAAATAGACACTTGTGTCTGTCAGACTATAGAAGGGGCAGATAAGGAATAGGATCCACAGAATAAGCCCAATTAAAGGAAGAAAATAACTTCACTCTTCAAAAATAGAGGACAGTATGTAAGCTAAAAGATGAAGATCCCCTTGGATATCTTGGGGGAGAACTCTTAAATTTGTCTATAGGTCTAGCACCTTTGAGAGTTGCCACCATTTCAAAGATCCCAGCTCCTCTGTGACATGATGAATTGAGATGTGATTTATCTTCCTTCTCACCTGAGGATGGGGCCCTTGTCCTCTCTCCAATACTCAGAGTTCTTTCCCTTCATCCAATAAAGATATATCAAAATTAGAAACAGTGAGTCCTGCTTATATGGCAAAAAAATAAATAAATAGAAATTTGCCATAAAGTTGCTGCCTCACAATTGAACCCAAACTCTGGGTTATTGGGTAATTACAAGGATTTTTTTTTTTTTTTGCATCTGCATCGCGGCAGGCACTGCTGTACATACAGGTACACTGACAAACAAAACAAAAATATACAAAGTATCCAGCCTTTAACAGGATGGATTCAGTACAGGTGCTCTCCAGTAAAGAATAAGAAAGGGACGCTTCAACCTAGACTCTAAATTCTCTCCATTTCTTGTCTTGTGAATCTGCACATGCTACAATGGCAGTCATAGCGTCTTTAATCCCTGCACTGATCAGTCAGGGTCTCGGAATGGGTTGCCTGGGCCTGCTGTGCCAACCAGGTGTTGAACTCACCTTTCAGAAGCTGGCATCCCAGATGAATAAAAAATTTTAATTGGATAGGCAATTTCAGGTTGCCTCTTGAAAAAGGTACCAATTACTGCTTCATTCACCTCCCCACCTTCATAAAAGTTATAGCTAACACTTATTAAGTGTGCTGTTTGTCAAACGATAACTATTATTTAGTTATTTTATACTCTCATGTGCTCCATTTCCATCTTCCTGTGTTTTAGGGAACTATTTGATTACATCCGAAGCCTCATCCCTTTCTCCTTGTGATAGGTAACCACACACTCTATTCAGTTGGGCAAGGGCACTGGTCTTCACAGAGACCGTCCCAGTATTTGGGCTCAAGACAGCCTCACCCAGCAAGTGTTGCCTATTCTCTTCTCCATGCCCTGAAGGGGTCTCAAAACCTACACAACTTTGGTCCACTGTGACCACCGCCTTCCCGGTCCCCTTCAGCCATCTCACCTTCCGCAAGCCTGTCGGTCCTCCAGAGGCGTCCCTAAGCCGCAGGCCCTTCGGGGTACAAGACAATTCCACCCTAAACTCGATAGAAACTGCGCATCCCCTGAGACGACTGCGTCCACGGTGCTCCTTGCCAACGGCTCAGTACGGGGTGGAGCGCGGGCCACCTTACTTTTTTGCGCAGCCTGCTAAAGTTTTCACACTTCTAAACATTTCCGCCTTTAGCGCGGTGACTGGGGTGCCCCGAAGTTAATGCGGCGCCTTCCCACGGCGCTGGGGCGCTCGGGTCGGAGCGCCGAGATGGGCGCGGCCGCATTACGTCACAATGCGGGGCCGACGGCCAGAACTTGGACTTCCGGGAACGCCCAGTTTCCGGCTCCGCCCTCAGCGCTGCTGGCGAGGGCGGGGCTGCGGAGCTAGAGCACCGGAGTCGGAAGTTGTTTTGGTCTTGGGTTCGATCTTGGGTCTTTACTGGTGGGACTGGGAAGTCCGAGATCAAGGTTCCGGCATTCGGTGAGGGCCTTCTTGCTGCGTGATGACATGGTACAAAAACGTCACCTTGCAGAATGGCAACGAGAGGGCAAGAGATAGAGCGAGAGAGGCCCAACTCATCCTTTCCTGAGAAACCCACTCCTGCAATAATGAACTCGCTCCTAAGAAAATGGCATTATTCCTTTCAGGAGGGCGGAGCCCTGGCGGCCTAATCAACTCTCACGTTTCCCACCTCTTACCACCGTTGCAGATTTAGTTTCCCACGTAGGCTCTTTAGGGGCATGTTTCATAGCAAGGCAAAACTGCACATTTGAATCTAATAATGTGGTAACGTTTTAAATCACATTCTCCTTTTTCCAACAGTTTTTAAAATTTTTGTTTTTGGCTGGTCCAAATGTAGTGAGTTATCTCACTTGATTGTTCACAGTCAGTTACAGATTGAACTCCTTGTTCTACTACTTTCCCCCCTTCCCGCGCTTGACTAGTCTTTAAAAAAAACTTGGTTTTGTTTCAGTTTTTTTATTGTTTTAGATTGTGTCTGTACCAAGATCAGACTTCAAGATCTGCTCGGGTGTGCTCTAACTCCACGCCTTTCCCTGAGCATGCATGGTGATTTTCTAAATTCCTCCATATATGCAGTTGCCTTTGAATAGCCTCAGTCTTGAATGTCTGTATTCCAAAAGGGTGAACAAGACTAATGATGGGTGGAAAAATAACAAAGAGAAAATGTTCAGGCCATTTGAATCCCCAGAGGGGGAGTGGGAGAGATTTTCGAGGGTGTCATGTAAGTGCCATGATGGCTGTCTGCCTCTGTGTCTGCACCTCGGTGACCACAAGCAGCAGTAAACAGATTGAACACAGGTCCCTGATATTTGGAGGACAGAGTTCTTATTGCACACGCTGGCTTCCCCAAGATGTGTTCCTGTGCAAGATCTTCTAGCTCTGATGATATGAGTCAATGGGAATTGGTAGAATGATCTCCAGATATTTGGCAATAGAAATGATTCACGTATCTCAGACTAGAGTTAGAATCCAGGGCGTTTTCTCTTTTCTTTATATTTATCTCTTCCTTTACTCTGCTGAATGCAGGTTGAGGTCCACATATTTAATTCTCAAGCATCTAATTATAGACACTTCCTGTTCATTTTCTTTAAAGGTGTCCCCAAGACCATAGCAGCTTTTAGATTTTAACATTTCCTTAAAGATTTTAGATGCAAATTTGTTTTCTATCCTCAGAGAAATCGGCAGGGTGTGCCCACTGGCATCACCATTTTCATTAGTGTCTCCTGTCATCCCAGTAAGCCCCAGGAACTCCAGGTGGGTAGAACTTTAAAGCTTGTGTGTGTATATATTGAGTTTTCCATTTTCCTCTGCTGGATCCTGTAATGCAAAGTATCATTTTTTCCATATGTATGTTGTTGTCAAACACAGTAGAAAAACATTCCAAAGGAAAAAAAAAAAAGATTTAGGATACTGTTCTCCTGAATCTCGTGACAAAATCACAACTAATGATATGAAGCATTGTGCATATTCCTTAGTTTTTCTTGTTTGATCTCATGATCTGGGCTGTGGCTACATAAGTTTCATCCTGACAGACACAAGCAGCAGGTCGAACACATTCATGGAAAGAACCATTTCCCCAACTACTTCTTCAAAGATATACTTTGGTGATGTGTGTATTTTTTTAATTAAAGGCATATACACAAGTTATAAATACACAGCTCAGTGAAATTTCACAAACAAAACACACCTCCATATTCAATGGAATACTCAGATGAAAAAATAAAATATTGCCGGCCCCCAGAATCCCCCTTGTGCCCCTCTAAGTCCCACTCTAATAATGATGATTACAGTTGTATTGGGTCTATTTGTAG